ATAGATACACACAAATAACCGGATTCCCTATATTTTTCCATATTTTCTGGGCTCTTGTCTTCCCCCCCCACTTCCCATATTTCCCCAATATTTTCGGGGGAATCGACGATGAACGAATTGTGTCTGTGTGTGTCGTTCCCTCCTGATTGTGCCAGGGGCAGGGGAACAAAGCCAACGGCACAAACGCAAACCGTCGGCGCTCCGCGCCGACTTCTTGGACTCGGGCTGGGCCCCCGCCCCTGGCGCGCGGAGCGCGCCGGTGGCGGCGCCGGAGGCGACGGCAGGGGGTCGCAGCGCAGGCCCAAGGAATCCGCGCGGGCCGGAGGAGGAGGAGGAGGAGGAGGAGGAGGAGGAGGAGGAGGAGGAGGAGGAGGAGGAGGAGGAGGATGGAGGGAGGAGGAGGAGGAGAGGAGGAGGGAGGAGAGAGAGAGGAGGAGAAGGAGAGGAGGAGGAGGAGGAGGAGGAGGAGGAGGAGGAAGAGGAGGAGGAGAGGGAGGAGGAGGAGGAGGAGGAGGAGGAGGAGGAGGAGGAGGAGGAGGAGGAGGAGGAGGAGGGCAGCGTGCAGATGGGCTCGCCCCAGGACTCGGCCACAACCCCAGGAGGCCTGCGCAGTCTCAACGAGCTCACAGCGGCAGCGGCATAGACCCCTGGAGGCCCACGGGGATGTCTCGGGTCTGCGCTCGGCCCCTCCACCGGCGCGCGAAGAAAGCGCCAGGGGCAGTGCCGAAGGTGCCGTCGAGGGGAGTTCAGCGACGGCCAAAGACATCCGCGCGGACATTCGCCAACTGATGTGTATGCAAACAAATGTTGCTATGCGGTGTGCGCTATCCTTCCCTTGCCGAGAGCCGTCTGGACATTCGCGTCCACCGAGGCTTGCAGCCTTGGGGCATGAATTCTGGGCTGCCCGTAAGTCCACGAGGCCACACAGTGACCGAAAGCATCATTCTGATCAGGGCACCTCTGGTGACCTCCAGGGGTCAGGACCAGGGGCGACAATACAACGTACCAGATGCCTTGGCCGCAAAGGCAGCGTTTCTCCTCCTCCGCTTCCTCATCCGTCTCATCCTCCGCAATCCTCCCTCGACCTGACGCTCCTATCCTCCTCTTCCTCGTTCCTGAATTCTGGAGTCATTTCACTCCTATCCTCATTCCTGGTTAAGCAGAGTACTTCCGATCCCCAGACATTCGCCGTGGCGAGTGCCAATTGCTAATTAGTCTTGTCGTTGTTTGAAACAAACATGAACATGAGCGCTCACCCCGTCACCGTGGACTCCCGCAATTTCCACGGTGCGACTAGGGAACACACGCATCGCGCGCACGAGAAAGCGAAACAAAGTTCTCGCCGTAGCGATGCGCAAATTTTCAGCTGGAAGTTGCGCTCGAGCCTGAGCTAGGCACACGTCTTGCTTGCCAAGCCCATCGGAAATCGACCGACCATCTCCACTACGCATGCGAAAACATCGTGCGTAGTGAGCTCCGTGTCCATTTCTCGTTGGCGTTTGTGGCCGTCCTGCCTCTTCTGCTCGGGCGATCGCGTCCCAAGCCAAGTTGGCCTCGAGCGAGAGTCCACACAACAGAGCACCTGGATGTTCGGAGACTGGCGCTTGCAGAGGCCGACCGACGCTTTCCTCAAGTGCACGAAAGCAAGGGCGGGGGTTGGCAGTGGACCGCTGACTCGCTAAGGCAAAGTAAGGGCCGCTGACTCGCTAAGGCCGACAAGCATGTCTCACACATTTGGTTATGCTCCTACTCTTCAATTTGCTTCGTTCCCCTCCTCCTCCACCTGCTCCCTCGTCCTTCTCCAGTTCCATGATGAGGGCCCAGCGCTGGAAGCAAAAACGGGGTCAAGGATCCTTCTCCTCCTCTTCCGCCTCCCCTCTCATAGCAGAAGCCTCGGGTCGGAGGGCAGCACGGGGTTGATGCCATAGCTCATCATCACGCAGACCACTCCCATGAAGAGATTCCATATGCCCACGAAGAAGAGCAGGCACCTCTGCTCCGGGCGGGGGTGCTGCACGCTGGGCGGGCTCCAGACACCCGACGCGGTGAGAGAAGCCATGGCGCCGCGCAGCAGTCGTGAGCGTGGCCCGCCCTGCCCGCGCCCCCCCTCCTCCTGCTCCTGCTCCTCCTGCTCCTGCTCCTCCTCCTCCTCCTCCTCCTCCTCCTCCTCCTCCTCCTCCTCCTCCTCCTCCCTGCCCTACCCCGCTTCGTACCCCCCCCTTCTGCCAGCCCCCACCCGCCGACCCTCCCGGCGCCTCCCCTGCGCCCCCTTGACCTCCGCGCACCCTCGCGCCTTCACATTGTGTGCCTCAGCCTGCTCTCCCAAGGAGGGCTGCAGAGCGGGGGGCATGGCCGGAGCAGCGCCCGAGCGGCGCCCCCATCCCTCTCTTGCTGGCCATCGCTCGGACGTCCATTTCCTGTGCTTTTTTCGGTTTCGTGCGTGGGTTTTTTTCGCCAAACGATCAAGGATGCTCCTCGATGGCCCTCGCCGGACGAAAAA